CTGTGTGTGTGCGGGCGCGCGCGTGTCATATAATAATTATCTTCATAAAATAATTTAAATTTACATTAATTTGTTTTAATCCAGTGAGAAATGATAATAGAATCGACATCAAATCGATGTCGATTCGACGTCGAAATCATCAAATCGACGTCGAATCGATATTGATTTTATTGTCATTTCTTACTGGGAACAATACAATATTGATTATGCTTAATATTAAAAGCAAACAATATATATTGTAAATTTACTATACATATATAAATTAAATTCTTAAATTAAAAAATAAAGTTTTTAATATATATATAAATTAAATTTTTATACTTTCAGATTCAGGGCAGAATTTATTGTAAAAACCAATTATTTACATGCAATATTTTTATAATTTCAGTTATGCATGATTTACAACGGACGAGCTGCTTTGACAAGCGCACTTCTTTTTGGCACCAGACGAGGTGGCCGAGTGGTTAAGGCGTTGGACTGCTAATCCAATGTGCTCTGCACGCATGGGTTCGAATCCCATCCTCGTCGGTCGCTTTTTGTTGGTTCGCGATAGTCTCTCCTGTCCAGAGCAACATGTGATAATTTATTACGCAAAAAGTACATTAGGGGAAGTATACAAAATTGTACAATTTCCCTAATGTACTTCTGGACAAATTATCGTGTAGTAACTTTGGATAGGAGGAAAATCTCTCGGAGAGAAAATCCATCCAAAAAGCGAACGAGGATGGGATTCAAACCCATACGTGCAGAGCATATATTGGGTTACTAGTCCAACACTTTAACCACTCGTCTGATACCAAAAGGAAGTTGCTAAAGCAATTCGTCCCTTGTGATACGTAATTTATATTACTTTCTGGATTTTCCCTATAATAATATTTTGCATCTCTCCTTCCTTTGTTACGTTATGTCTGTGAAATTTTACCAATAATTCATCAAAACAAACTGCACATGTTTATACCAAATCTGACCCCCTTAATAAAAAGAATTTCATTGTATAATTTCAAAAGATCTTGATATCAGCTACAAGAATAATGACTAAGAGTTTCCATTAAACATTTTAAAGTTGAAAGTTCCTCCATACTTACACTCAATGTTAAATAAGTCGCCGTTTGCTGCATTGTTCAAACTCTACATTTTTTGTATAAAACATTTTTCTTAAAAAATGCTTTTATGAAATATTTTATTGTATCCAGACTTTCGGCTCATTCTATACACATTACATACACACATACACGTATTTTTTTTATATGTACATTATGTAATTTATAAATCTTTCTGACAGTTTAACATTTGTAAATTCTTAAAATAGGGAAAATTAAATATTAGACGTAAGTCTAATATTATTTAATTAACAAAAATTTTAGAATTTTTTAACTAAACTTATGATGCACGAATATTTAAATAAAGTAGATCCTTATTCTAGAAGTATTAAGTCACATTAACAAATTTTAAAGAGTATCGATAATGTGTTATGTAATGTGTTATAAGTGTGATATAAGAATATCAATATGTTTATTAAAAGAGATACTACAGATATGGAAAAACTGAAGACTCTTATGATCTTTATTATGTTATATAATCACCTATAATTATAATTTCATAATATTAGTGGTCTTAATTAACATCACTGTTGTTTATCACATAAATATAGAAATAATTGCGATGGTAACAAATTTTATATTAATTGTTCGACGGCTAAAGCAAGGATAAACAATGGCAGGAAAACGGCGCTATCACGTATATACTAAATTAGATTGCAATTAGTGTATAAATCATTGTCAATTACATTGCACTTTTTCAGATATGTTATGTGTACGTGCAAAGTTCAAATTATTTCAAGTAATTCAAGTTCACATACTTATCAAAAGAATGGCAGTTATTTTCTGTAGTTAAAATTATTTATTTTTATTTAGGTAATTTCCCTAACAACACAGATCTCCAGGGGACGTCTTGAGGACGTCCGTACGTCCTTTGAACATCCTCAGGATGTATCCCAGATAAAGTGTGTTATTAGGGTTTATACGGCATTATTGTATAATACTCCTTCTTAGCGTACATCTAACAGGATATTAGTGTGGCCATCTGTACACATAAATAGTTCTCACTCTCTTTATAAAATAATGTTCACTCTGTGATATATATACATATATATTTCAAAATTTAGTAATGTTTAATTGTTTAATAACAAATAAAGATAAAAGAGAGATTTATTAAAAAGCAAATTTAATTCTTTTGTTGTGTGTTGTGTGTTTGTTTTGTATATTAAAAAGTTCTAAAATTCTCACAAATAATGAATAGAAAAGGTAATTTTAAAAAGTAATGCTTCGAAAAAAATCTAAATGCACTGTTATGAAAGAGTTTTAAAATTATAAAAATTTTATTAAAAATAATTTTTTGTACATACCTCTCATCATTAAATAATATAGGTATTCATAATCAGATCTTATATTCAAGACCATTTTAAGTACAGTCTTAAGAAATCACAAACCAATCAGAGGGCCACATTAGCGACTTGAGACATTACTCAAGACGGTCTTAAAATAAGAACCAACTAAGTACCGGAACAACTGAGTACCGGCAATAGAATGATTAGAAGCCAATTCTTTCGAAGAGATGTTTTATTACCTTGACATAAGACTATTTATAAAATTTTGATTTGTAATTCAATATCAAAATCGGGAGAGGAGAGATAGAGAGAGAGAGAGAGAGATTGGATGGATTTTTTATTAAGTTATTCTTCGGAAGCTGATTTTATCCCTTATATATATATATATATATACACTGCTAAAAAAAATTATGGCATAGAAAAATTGTGGGCAAAAATTGGCCAATTATGTCTAACGATAACTTTGCGAAAAATTATCGTAGGTAACGTTTTTTTTTTTTAATTAAAGCTTGAAATCTCTTCTTTAAGATGCTATGATCAGATTTTAAGTTTGATGCACCGCTGCCATTGTAACTCTCAAAAATATGAGGGTGTGTATGTCATATTGAAAATTACAAAATTTAACGGAATGCACGGACTTTGTAAAATTTTTTTAGGGAATGCTGTATGCAGCGACATAAAGTTCAAACTTTCCTCTTTAATTTAAAAAAAAAAACAAGTCGCTGCAATTTTTTTTCGCAAAGTTATAGCACCTTAAAATTACCCTTGTATTTTTTACATATATCGACATTATCGTTACCTGATATGCATCACAACGAGATTGCTGTCGAATTTTGCACAGCGTGTGTGCGCGTAAATTTCAATAACGCGTGTTGCCTCCGCATTACTCGATTACTTCTTGCAGCCGATTCCTCATATTAATGCAAGCCCTAACTTCTTCCTGCGGAATTCCATTCCAGATTTGAACTAGGGTTTGCGATAAGTCTTCGAGACTGACAGGTTGTCTTGCCAAATTTCGTAATCTACGAGCCATTATGTCCCATATATGTTCTATGGAGTTCAAATCAGGACTCATTGCAGGATGTGGAAGAAGTCTAATTGAACTTTTCGCCAAAAACTAGCGAGTAGTGGCTGCGGTATGCAGCCATGCGTTATCCTGCATAAAGAAAAAACTTCTTCCTATGCGACGACTCATATGCTGGATTCATACTGCATCCGATTTGCGTCGTACGACGCTTTGCAACCAATCAGGAAACAGGATTCCGATGATACGAAGCAAAATCCATCGGAATCCTGTTTTCTGATTGGTTGCAGAGCGTCGTACGA